GTACGGAGGGCTACTACAAGATCTCACATGCCGAGAAGTCTGCGTATGTAGCCCAATACGCGTCTCGCAGTACGGTCAACGAAAGGGGGCCCGAGAAGGAGCAGCCGGCTCAACAGAACGTCACTTCCTCGCGAACCAATCGTGCTAACGCGCGTCGACGTGCACAAGGTCTTGAAGAGATCAACCAGGTCCAACGTGCGATGGCGCTGTCGAAGGGCGAGTCGGCCGCGACGGAGCTCATCAAGTTCAATCAGCTGCAGACGCGGAAGAAGCACTTGCGCTTCGCGCGATCGCCTATCCACGATTGGGGCTTGTACGCCATGGAGAAGATCTCGCGCAGGGAGATGGTCATCGAGTATGTCGGCGAGATCATCCGTGCACAGGTCGCCGACAAGCGCGAGAAAGCGTACGAGCGCCAGGGTATTGGCAGCAGCTACTTGTTCCATATCGACGAAGAATTGGTAGTGGGTATGTGGATGTTTGCGGTGCCATATAATCGAGTTTACTCACTGTGCTATCGCAGTCGCCTGCCAGTGATCAATCACTCGTGCGAGCCCAATTGCACGGCGAGGATTATTACGATCAATGGCGAGAAAAAGATCGTCATCTATGCAAAGTTTATTCCGCCGCCTCTGCCGTTGTAAAATTCTGTAAAGTGTCTTGTTCTCTAATCTTACTCGTTCACCGACTCCATGAGTGCCCCCGAGTCGCGCCCGCGTGCGACTCGGGGTGTCGATATGGTTTCGAATTCGACATAACTGAAGGACGTCGCGGCGCTAATGACGACTTACGTCATCCTCTCACGCCCCTCGACCTCAGCCCGACGACCTGCAGCCCGTCGTGCTACATGCGGCGGCGCTCAACGCTCACCACCCCACCACCCCCGCACCACCCCGCAGCAGCAGCTGCTCCGTCGCAGGCCCGCCGTCGTTGATCGTCTGATGCCCGCCCGGAACGAAGGGACCCGCCAGCTGGCGGGTTGAAGCACGGCGGCTTAGCCCGCGAGGACGTCCGCCAGGTCGACATGGGAGTCGACATGGGGCGTCGGCGCGACGAATCCCTGCGGCACGTTGGCAGGATATCGCTTCTAAGCGTGGATCTGTAAGTGCGTTGCGTGTTCTAACGCAAAGCTGACCTATATGCAGGAGACTGTCGCCGATGGCGGATTCACCGCCACCCGAAATCGACCTACAGGTCCAAGACGACGACGACCTCCGTTTCACGCCCTCGACCGTGGACGGGATTGTGCTGGCAGCGCGGGTCAGTCTCAGCGATCGCAGCGTAGCGGGTGCGTCTGTGTCGCAGCAAAGCAACAGAGACAAAGGGCGGCGAGCTCCAAGTCGTGCATCCGGTGGAGCGGTACCGTAGGAGGGCTACGCCCGGGCGCGAAGAAGAGGTGCGCGGTGTGAAATGAAATCTTTCATTCGATAGTAACTCGTTTTCCTCGACGGACAGCAAGCCCCTTACCATGTACTTGCCGCGCCGGATGCGCTGGCGAAGACATCGCTTGCCGCGAAGATATCCGAACTGCAGCCCCCGTATACGGGGGCATTGCTATGCTTGACCCAGATCGTTTCGTCTTGCGTTGGCAACGCAGGACGAAACGATCTGGTTCTTCCTCCGCGTCGAGGTCCAAGTCTACATGAGTCGTTGGCTCCACGCCTCGCCCGCCCGTCCGTCGCCCCCGTCTCGCTCCGGTCGTCCGTTTTGGTTTCGACCATGCGTTGATGACCGGATGGTGAGCTCCCGCTCTTGATGAGCGGTAGAGCGAACCTACTCGCTGTGACACAGTTTTCCAGGGTGTTTGTCTGTGCACTTCTCACTGCTGCAATCCGTCGCCTGCGTGCGCTGGATGCAGTGAGCAGTAGGGTAGAGCGCGGGACGACCCGGTTCGCGTGTGAGATGCAGGGCGTGCTCAAGGCGGAGATGACATACAAGCGATCGCCTCGGCCGCGCGGATATCACACACTACGGTTTGTGGCGATTAGCTGTGAGTAGTGGTCGACGAGTCCACTGTACTCGGCGCAAGCAAGGAGCCCGAAGAAGCGCAACCCGAGCTGATGCAGGTACGCTGCATCAGTATCCCCACTCTTCCCTCGCTCAGAATGATACGCGCAGAATTGCTGAGTGGCATTAGCACCGTCCATGCATACGGAGAAGAGGTGAGTATCGCATCGTAACGATGCAGTCGTACCCGGGAACTTATGCCCGTGCAGGGCAGATTCATTCGGAAGACGGAAGACGGCCTCGACGTGGAGAACAGGGTCTACTACACGGTCATCGCGATCCAGCAGTGGCTGAGCGCTGAGCGCTCCGCTCGACCTGCTCAGCAACATCCTCGTCCTCGACATCGCGCGATTCACGGCCAGGTTCAGCAAGGCGATCAGCCCGAGCAAGGTCGACATCGTACAGATTGAGCAATGCGTGCCTCTCTTCCCTCCAGTACGAGTTCGCGCAGAGTCTCAGCCGCACGGTGCGGTTCGCCGAGATGGTAACAAGCATGCGCGGCCCACTCTTCCCGATGGACGAGGCACCCACCCTTCGATCGCAGGCTCGTAGGACCCGAGCACAGCGAGAGCTCTTCGCCAAGGAGAAGGCGCGAGGTCGAAGCAGGCAAGCATGCAGGCGGGAGCCAAAGGACGTGGATGTGTCCGTGCTTGCTCAGCATGCGATCCTCATCGTCCGTACCTAGCAGCGGGTCGGCCATCTCCACGTCTGCATTCACCATCACCCATTCCAATTCTTGGTTCTCCTTCGGCAGCGGCAGCTTGGCGTCGACTGCTCTGACGACGCCTTCCTCCTCCCTGCATTCCTTCAAGGCGCCCTCTCAGTCTTTATCACCCATCCTGCTCTCCCTCCACACTGAGCCCGAGTCGATAAGACACTCGTGTCATCCCCGCCCTCTTGTATCAATCCTCACGTCGGATGACCCGTTACGCTCGGCTGCCACCTCCTCCGCGAGCTCCCATACAGGCGCAGAGAATTCCTTACCTAGCCGCGGGCGTGCTCGCACCCGTGGTTCAGGTCGGCGTGCTTCCATTCCGGAGCTGCAGTCTGTCGAGGATAGGCTGGTGAAGCGTGTAGGTCGTTCCGGGTCGATGCTCATGGACACGGTGGCACACTTTCAAAGAGCGTATGTGAAGGCCACGTTGTTCAGCATCGGCACTGACTTCTCTTGATCCCGCTCTGACTCCCGCGGCCGTTCGGGCTCCCGCTCGCCTTCCCCATCACCCTGGCGGTCGTGCTGTGCCTCTGCGCCCTTGCCCTCCGCGCGCTCGCGCTCGACGTCAGTGTCATGCTCTCCGCGACAGTGGTCGACGACGAGCTGTTTGGCACGTACTACACCGATCTGCCGTCTGACGGAGACTGCATGAAGGCGAACGACACGCCCGTCTCATCGCCAGAGAAGGCATCGATTTCAAGGATGTCGACCACGGAGGTCTTCCGCTCGTCCTGAAGCAAGTGAGCTTCGCCGTGCGCCCAGGGGAGAAGGTACGTGCATCTTCGATGATCCATTCCTTCGTGCTCATCCTGTCGGCTAGATCGGCATTGTAGGTCGCCCAGGCGCAGGAAAGTACTCGCTCATGTAGGTGCTGTTCCGGTACGTTGCTCTTCGTGCGGCGGGCCTCCTCGGATTGACGTTTTCCCCAATGCAGCACAGTCAACGTCGCCTGGAGATCGACGGCGTGGACACGTGCAATATCGGGTTGAAGACACAGCGTGCGCAGCTGCCTTGCTCTCGTCCCACAAGACAACGTACTCAATTCCCGCAGAGATCCAGAGGGCACCCGCACGGATGTGGAATTGATCTCTCCTCCAGCGGACGTGGCTGCTGCCGAAGCACGAGGTGCATGACGCCGCAGCAGAGGCTCTCGTCGGCGCCGAGGGGGGCGACTACTCCGCTGGCGAGAACGTGATGTTGGCGCTCTGTCGGGCATTGGCGAAGAACAGCCGCATCATCATCCTCGTCGGTCTCGGTTCCGCCGTGCTCGTACAGGAGTTAGGGCGCTGATGTCGATCGTTATAGGGCGAGGCGACGAGCAACTTTGACCTGCAGATGGACGCGAAGCTGGTTTCGGTGAAGTGGTCATTTTCAATGCGGTAGGTTTTACATATAGTAGACGGTAGTGTATTATATAGTCGTTCTCAACCCGCTGTGTCGGTGGTCATGTTGCCGAAATTAGGTCTAAATAGCTTTTGCCATTAGTGGCCGCTAGTCGGTATCGAGCTGATTGTCAAGATCGCTGTGGATGTCAATACATGTCGTAGTTGGTATCGCGTCCACTGGCGACGTCGCTGTTGAGATCGTTGTCGAGATCGCTGATTCGTTTTCTATGTGGTCGACACTGTGTTCGACGTAGCGTTCAAGATCGTTGTCGGGATCGCGGTCGACGTCGCGGTCGAGATCGTTGTCAACGTCGCGGTCGTTGTCGAGATCGTTGTCAACGTCGCGGTCGTTGTCGGGATCGCGGTCGACGTCGCGGTCGAGATCGCGGTCGGTGTCGCGGTCGAGATCGCGGTCGGCGTCGCGGTCGGTGTCGCGGTCGAGATCGCGGTCGATGTCGCGGTCGAGATCGCGGTCGATGTCGCGGTCGAGATCGCGGTCGTCGTGTACCGGGTCCGGAAAGTTTGTATATTATCTGAGTATTCTGAACGAGTACATATAAATTAGTCCTTCCCTGACTCATGCATGTCCTGGGTCAGGAAAGCTATCATCGTCTTACAATTAGTTCGAGAAAACTATGCAAAGAACATGTAGCCTGCTCTCGACATACTTGAGCGGAGCATATTACGTGACCCATATCTGGGCAGCAAACATTTGTATTATATCGTACCATGTTCCGCCTCCGTGTATCTTAGGATTACTTAAGCAGTACCCACAATATCCTTGTGCGAAATATCATCAGGATTCTTTAGCTAATCATCACATGCCCTCAGCATATTCCTGCCCAGAACATCGCATTTTGCCCCCAGTGGAAGTCTCAGAGTCATAGTTTCTCATTAGGCTCGTGCCCTGAGGTCATAATTGGTACGTGCCACAACCTTGAAGCCTGGCCGGACCAGTGCTTTCGTGGTCTCCGCAGAGTTTTGGTCTTTTCTCACCAACAACTTAATTAGAAAATCAGAAATGAGTTCAGAAGATACAGCTTACACGGCGCTGCACAATGACCTCATACTGAGAGAGATCATGACCAGCCTGTCCGACTTGCCTGTACAATCAAACCGCGGACTACGGGACACGCAAGCCGACTCCACGCTTGCTAGCTGTGCGCGTGTGTGCAGCCTTTTCCGCGAACACGCTTTAAACGCACTATGGTGGCACATGGACACTCTCATGCCCCTGCTGAAGATCCTAACTTCGTCCGTGATCGCCTTACCGACAGGTCCAGGAAGCACGCAAATCGTTAAGGTATGTTTCATAACCTCGTTCTCAAGAGATGTACTGAGACATGGGCAGGCACTGCACCTGCCAATTCGTGACGATGAGTGGCTCCGTTTACTCTCGTATGCGCGCCGTATTCGCAGGCTCTACGTCAGAGATATCGACTTCGAACATGTAGACCCAACTGTATGGATGACTCTGGCTGCACAGAATGCAGGTTCACCGTTGCTATCGAACCTCCTCCATCTGCAATGGTCCCACCTCGCAATATTGAACGTTATTCACATCCTACCACCGTCAATTCAGAAGCTTCAAGCAACATCCACACCCCCGCTGGAAGGCCTTTCAATACATAGCCGGCCTCTGGTAACCAGGAACGAAGTCGTTTTCCAAAACATCATCTATATATTGGCATCGCGTGCGACCGATGTCCAAGACTTGTCGCTCCGTGTCTCTCACGCATCAATTCTGGAACCCATTGATCGGTTTCGATCGCTGCGAAGGCTTTACTTCGACGCAAGCAGAACAGGTCCGCTCACAAGGCCCTTGTTCGACAAGCTTAGTCGTCTACAGAGTCTTGAGCGATTGTTCATCGATCTCCCAAACCACACCGAAGTAACCTCCTCACCTGACGGTTTCCCTGCTCTGCGCGAGATCCGCCTCGCGGGAAACCCTGCCGGCATCAAACGCGTTCTATCTGCAATACGAGGTGCTCAGCTCGCAGTTGTCACCCTAATCTTCAAGAACCTCGAGGAGAGCGAATTGCCGTCTATTTGCAGCATCCTTTACAACCTTCGCGACTGTGGCAGCTCGTCGATTCATTTCCTCGCGCTAAAGGTCATACCTCGTGTTCTCGCCTCAAGCATCGTCCATGAATCCAAGGGTATCCTGAAACCGCTTTTAACCCTACGCAACGTCCAACGCATCGACATTCAAATTCTCTCCAAGCTCGTCGTGAGCGCCGAAGACCTGCAGGACATAGCGGTTGCTTGGCCCAATGTCATTACTTTGCACCTGTTCTACATTGAAGACGGTCAACCCCTTCCACCGCTTTCGTCCTTGTCACTCCTTGCGAAGCACTGCCCCGACCTGCGTAGCCTCGAGCTGCCGGGGCTGCAAGACTGCGACGTGGATTTTTCCAACCTCCGGGTCTCGTCGCATAACCTGCGGCGCATCTTCCTTGGAAAACAGATGGTTCCGTCAGAAAAATTGGCCCGCTTCTTGTGTGCCCTCTTCCCGCGGCTAGGCACTAGCGTGTCGCACTCGCACGGGCCACAGTGGCGAGAGATGATGACGATGATTGCGGCATTACAGAAAGAGGCGGAAGTATGCGAGAAGAACGATGGAGGGTACGTGGGCCCAGTCTTTTGTGGAGTGGTAACTGACTTGCCTTCTCAGCGACTAGTATATGAGCAGACGAACTCTAGTTATCTGACGCGCCCAAAGGCACTGCACCGTACGCACGCCTTCAGATCTAATTCGCGATTACATATGTGAAATATGGCTTTTTGGAATAGCAGAACCCGAACCTGCAGCACTCGTGAAGCACCTGATGTGTAGGCCGGCACATCTGAAAATTCACAGAAGATGATGCTAGCAACTGAGCCCCTCATAGCAGCCCTCCTCGCCGCGCTATTTCCTGCATATATACTTTGGCGAGCACTAATGCTACGCCCAGTTGTTCGCATATCCTCGCCTACGTCAACCGACTGTCAAACCCATCTTCTTTCACAGTCGCTTCCGGGACGTTGGCAGCCACACTGTCCAGTACCATGGAAAGATGCATGCGATCAAGTAATTTAGATCCTTGCCTCTGCGCGTACGGATTTATACTGGTAGCCAACCTACTGGGTTCGCCGAGTATCAACACACTGGCGGCCAACCTTCTGGGAATTCGTAGTTTACTACCGCTCCCCGCGTTCCCACTGCGACATCGAGATTGTAACTTATGTGACAGCTGACGGGGAGGCGTGAACGTGCACGGCGATGTTACGAATCTTACGTAGCGCAGTGATCATCAGGCCACGCTGGCATGAAGACAGGCTCGGTGTCGAAGAAGGTCGTCTATGGGTGTAAGTGGGTCCACGAGAGGTTGACAAACCTATTTCCGAATGAACAATCAAATTAAGTGTGCGGTGTACACCAACAATTGAAGTAACACAGTAGTCGTGCGCGTAGTATTCCTTTGGTCATTCAGAACTTCCATCCTCCCGATAAGCCCATAACGTTGAAAGGATCATACTTCGCTTTCAGTTCCCGCAACCTAGGGAGGTTGCCGGCGTATATCCGCTCCATCGTCGTGTCGTATATGGCGTAGTTGGGATAGAGCGACGTCTCCGCAATGTCCTGGCCTTCCGCCACGGCAACCTGGGTCAAATAATCGGCGCTCTGCACCATGATCTGATTCATGAGCGTGTCGTTGTCCGGTGACGCCCACGCGTAGTAGATGTTCAGAGGCAAAATGCCATTGGCACGACTAGGAGGCCAGGCAGAATCGGTACCGTGTGAGAATACACTCGGCAGGATTGGCTCGACGTCGTAGCTGACGAAGACCTCCGGAACGTCAGATTCGAGCTGTCCTCGCCAGAACTGAATGATATATCAACACATCAGCTCCAGAGGTCGTGAGCCACGGCGAAGGACGACAAACCTGAGTTTCGTTGACAATAGCATTCAGGAGCGGGGTCGTATATTCATACAGCGAGACCGTGTGGAAGTAGCCCCTGTTATTAAGAGCACTGTCACAATTGCATTTAAGGACGAACAAGGTTGTTGACCTACCGCAGACCGTTCGAACCCTCTATTGTGGAGAGAATGAGGGACAGATAAGACCTCGTGGAAATATTTTTAGTCAGCGAAGGAAGGGCCATGAAGTCGTCGAACATCCCCTCAGGTGGCGTCGGGGCGTTGTAATATATGGTCATTTCCGTGATGCTCTATCCGCAGAAGTATGTCAGTCGCTTAGGATACAGAAATGCAGTCCAAGAACATACCAACCCAAGCGACGCGTCGTAATTGAACGTAGTAAGAATAGCGGCCTTAGGGTCAGTCACGGTTTCGTAGAAGTTTTGCGTAGCAGCGACTACGGCATCATCGACACCTGTGGTGACGATGCTACCGCCCTAGAATGCATTACTGTCAGGACTTGCACCTCGACTTCAGACGAAATAGACATACCCAGACCGCAGTCTGCGGATGTGTCTCCAGGTATATCGTCGTCACGATACCGAAATTGTTGAAGCCACCCTGCACCACGACGTCGATGTGAGTAAGCACGCAGATCGTTGCTCATGAACTGCTTAAATGCCTACCTTCAGCCCAAAGAACAAGTCGGAATTATCAGTCGCAGTTGCGTTCACAACAATACCGGTAGGTAATACAATCTCGAAGCCTGCCACTGTATCGATGGTCAACCCGTACTGATTTGACTTGAACGAGTAGCCTAATCATCAATCAGCCTGGAAGCCACTCCCGGGAGTTGTGTGAACTCGCACCTCCACCAAGAGTGAAGCCCGCCACACCAATGCCACTCACTCGCCCACCAACTACACTGACGTTGTAGGGCTCGAGACCTGCATAGACATTATCCCAAATGTTGCCTGCTCCGACGCTCGCTATTCCTGCCTCCGTGTCGTATGATACTTCCGTGAAGCGGGTCATAGCGATCTGTACGCCAGGAGTGGCAGAAAATCCGGGGTTGGCAGTATGACCTGCACCTTTGATCTAGTAGACGGCTCAGAAATCACGGCAATCAACTTCGCAGATTGCTACCTACACCAAAAGGAGTCCGGGTAAGACCCAGGACAAGGAGCTAACGGACAACAGTCAGTCTTATGAATCAGCTCCACGCACGACGAACACATACAATTTTTCCGACATCTTCGGCAGTTCCGGGCTCGACTGTACAGGTTGAGTTGGTCGTACTAGACAGCGCCCAATGAGAGTTGTCGGACGCATACTCCTTCGTGTCTACTCCCTGCACATGAGCGGCAACCTCGAATTTGACAATGCTTATCTGACGTACCAGGATAGTAGACGTCCGACTCATGAGAGATCACGTCGGCGATAGCATCGCAAGCGACTTCGTATATGAAGTTCGGGCCTTCCGTTTGAGCATAGGCATGCAGTGAAGTGAACGACAGAACGATCGCAATCGCTAGCCGCATCTTGCCGCCGCTGCGCGGTGCCAATTAGACTCAAAAGCCAGCCAAGCAGGAGGACAACCGCCGACAGTAGAGCGCGGGTACCGCTCTACTTAAGCTTTGTCGCCTAGCACATAGTGCGGCGCGGGGACGGAGGCAAAAATGACGAATGAAGAACGGAATGGTACGACGTAACCCGGGGGCTGGACATTGGGTGAGAGATGATGATAACCGGGATCTGTTCATCAGCATTTTCCAGCGGCAGTGTGTAAGTAACGAGGGACGGCCGGCGAATCGACAGGCTCTCAAAATCCGCCCGGGACGCCCATAATAACTCGAACCTTCAGAATCAGAGTGCAAGCCACAAATCACTTACAATCGGGATTAGAGGCTGCCTCAGAAGAGCGTGCATATCAAACAGCAGTGTCTCGAACGATGCCCAGTCAGACCTCGAGGCAGCATGGCTACGACGGGCTATGAGCAACATACGTGAGAAGTAGTGAACTCTATGTGCACGCACTGACGGCATGCATCAGATCGCGTAATACACGGATCCAAAGAGATGAAGAGCATGTTGGCCGCGCACGATCCTACACGAGCAAAGCGAGTCCAAATCACGCTGCTCTCATGTACAGGAAGATGCTATAAGACGCACATTTTGCGGGTACTGGTCGTATGAGGTCTTGCTTGCCGCGCACAGGAAACATCAGCGACATTCTGTGAAACTCCCTTGTACGACGTACGACAACACCAAGTGGAGCTTATAGCCGTCGTACCTCAACGGTCTGATATTCGGCTAGGCACGCCAGGGGGGCGTTACGCAGGGGCTTCAGGGTACATACGAGGAGGTACAACTGCCGCACTGTGAGCGCCCCCAACGGGCTATGATCGTCTATGTGAGCATCTCAGCGCCTGCGCCGTGAGAGAGCCTGGATCAAAGCTATTACACGGCATGTACAGCGTACTTTCAATGGTACGACTTCGAAGAGAACACTCACCTTTGGTGTGACTTCTATCTTAACGAAGTTCGAGGAGACTCCTCAGGGGATGGTCCATCCCGACTTGCTGCGTACGATGGCGAGCTGCCATCGATCGTATTCATGATCACGGAATCCACGGAAATAGCTGTCATTCGAAATGGGGGTAGACTCGATGGAGACTTCAGGAACACTCAGTGTTTTGTAGACCCTCGCGCATAGGGCGTATCTCTCCAACATCAAGACCACTCTATCCATACTGAGCACCACGTTAGTGACGTAAAAATTCCGGAAGCGGAGATAACACGCACACAGCTAGATGTGGGCTACACGATGTGAAGAAAGCCTGACAGGCCTGACATGGATTCCCTCGAGTCCGGTTCGAGGCTACATATGCATGAGAGCCCTGTGAGGGTGTCCATGCTCCCAGTATGGTCCAGTGAAGCAGGAGGACACCTGAATACGCCTGTGAAACGAATGATCTATCAAATGGTTCGTTGCGTTGACACCGTGCCAGTAGGATCCTGAGGGTGCACGCAACGAACGTAGGGTGCAAGACATAGTGTCGGCGTGCTCATTCCTGCAACTGGGGATTAGCCTGACAATGCAGCGAAGGATTCTAAATACTTGCGGTTGATTGTGGCGCGAAGAGAAACATGGCTCTGGATCTCGCCACGGACGACGGCGATCAGCTGTATACTCGTTCACCAAGCGCATGCACAGAGATGAACCCCACAAGGCGAGAGATACACAATACATCGAGATTGGCAGCAAGACAACAGGGAAGAACTTGATCGTAAGGGAACAACCGGAGCGAGACGCCGCTGGACATAGCATCGGGCGCCATTGTGACGACAATGCGCGTCGCGCGCAGAGTAGGACAACGGCGTGTACGCAGAATCCAGACAAGAAGACACATCATCGTTTCCCTTGAGCCGCGGCCTCTACATAATGGAATGAGGGCTGAAAGTCACCCACGCAAACAGTGATTACGCACCACGCCTCGTCGCGTCCTCCAATAACTGCGTGTCGACATGCTCCGCAGGAAGCTGGACGTAGCGCACGACAGAGCCACGGATGAAGCAATTCTTTACTGCCATCTACATACAGACTTCGTTAGAGCTACCATCTCTCACCTAGACGGCGTTACCGAACCATATGAGGATGTCTTGCTTCGTCAAAGACCTCTATTTTATCGAGGCGGATGTTCAAGAATCTGTGACGGGAGGACCCTTAGTGAGAGGCCGCTGGATGAATTGTGATGATCGTCTCAGTTGGTCTGGGAAGAACTTACTGATCAACGGACTTCAGTACGCCAGTGATGGAGAGGTCGTTCTTCAACTCGACCGTGACCTTCTGGTCAGTGAGTGTTTTGAACACGGAAAAGATCAGCTGCAATGATACAGCACCAATGAATATTAGCAAGTCATTTGCTTGTGGCCCTAAGCATACCATCTTGAGATTCGCAAGTACGTTGGACACGAGAGTTAATGGAGGACAAGTTCACATCGAAACGACTCCTCCGGCATACACCCTACACGTGACCGAGCCACTCGACGCGTTTGTTGATCCTCACTCGAGCTCATCGTTCACCACGATGAGCACCAGCAGCTTACCCGACCACGTCGACCGACTATCCCTGCTCGCGAGATCGATCCGCGCTAATGCGGCTGCAACTGCCCCAGAGACCTCAGGACCCTTCACGGAGGCAGTCCTCCGCACCCCACTCGGCGACCTCATCCGCGACATAGATCCCGCTGAGATGGGTCTGTTCACGGTCATCGCGCCTTCCAAACCTGCTGTGTCGAATACCGATGTACCTCCACCACCTGAGGGAGAACTCGCACGAGTTGAGTTCCACGGCGCAACCCCACTGAAGAAACCGCCGGCACCAAGGCCAGGAAGGCTGGATGGGCAGAGGGCCGGCGAACATGAACCGGAGGTCTATGCGCGAGCGGCCGTCAAGTACCTCGATCGATAGTGAGTAATACCAAAACTCTTAAAACGCGTCTGCTTATTAGAATGTGTTTAGTCGGTCCATCAGACCCATGCCTCGAGCATCCGAGCAGGCGGAGAGGATCATGGCACAGTTGTCTGAGGTGCGGGATAATATGCGCAAGTTGAGCGAACAGCTAAAGGAAGTGAGTGACAAGACAGTGCCTACAAGCCTTCTACCGACTGAGTTTAGCACGCGGCCTCAGACCCTCACGAAGTCCCAGCTTCTCCTAAGTCTATCATCATGGACGAGGAACAGCGGATACTTGCGGCTCGCGATCAGATAACGGAGCTGAAGAAACGCGTTCGTTATCCTGTTGACCCAAACTCAGACACTTTGCTCACATTTCGTTCAGAAAGAGACCCTGCTTCGACAGAAGGCAGCTGTACCCAAACCACCACGTAGCAGACATAAACCCAGACCGCAGACGCCCCCTTCTGCTATTGACGAACAAGAAGAGACGTTCTGGAACACGCCCGGGGCAGCAGCACGAACGCTGCATTTCACTGGCGATTCCTTGCTAGACGAGGAAGTCCACGTGGCCGATATGTCAAACTTATCATTTTCTAGTCCCGTCCCTGTGCGTAGGAGCGGTGCGGATACTGATTTGCCCGAGCGGGCTTCCGACGAAGAAGAGCTGGAAGCTGAGATGGCCGCCGATGAGCCGGTTCATACTGTAGACGAGGACTCTCTGTCGACGGAGGAGGTACTGGACGAAGACGACAGCGACCCGACGGTGAAGCTACGACCACCGCTAAAAGCAATCTCACCACCAGTGGAGGACACTGCGGTTCAAGAAGCGGCATCACCTCCCGCTACAGTCGCCGAGACGCCCGATCCTCACAAGCGAGCTAAGGTCAGGGTTACCACCGAGCTCGAACAGATTGTGGTATGTAGTAGGACACTTGCTAAGCTTGCGCCTTAGCTGATGGGCGATGCAGGCGAAGATATGGGCCACAATAGGCGACCAGATCAAAGCTGGCCACGCGAATAGCGGTAAACCGCTCAGAGCCAAGGAGACACTGTAAGGCCAACTTCTATCCTGAACGCGGCGTATCTCATACATTGAGCCAGAGCGATATTGCATCAGCTTTCCAACAGCACACCAGCACCGTCCTCGCCATCCATTAGTCTATCCTCCTTCTCCGCTACCGCGCCTGTCTCCACCACATCAGCCCAACCATCCGCACAACAGATCCTGACCGCCCACATGCTTCTGACACTCCTATCTTCACCGCCCACGTATTCCATGCCATTCGGACGTATCAAGGAAGCATTATCGGACAAGGTAGCCAGCATTGGCATCAGGGCGAGCGCTGTTGGCGGTGCAGGGATCACCAGGCCGGTTTACGGATGCGTTGCGAAACGACTTCTGAAGATCGAGCGAGGGGGCAGGGAGCAGGTGGTGAGATTTGACGTGTAACAATGTACGTACCACTGTGAATACCCAGGTTGTACTCTGCACGGTGCGCAGTGCGCACCGCAGGTCTGGCCACGTGACCGTGATCTGTGAGCAGCCTCCCATTTATTCTGCTGAGGAGGAGCTTGTCGACGTCGTTCTTGAAAGCTATGTATACCGGAGCTGCTCAACGTGTATCCCCATCAGGATTCGTTGAGGGTATCGCGGCCATGCCTCTGTCACCATGGCTCCAGGAAGTCGAGCTACTCCCTTAGTCCCTATGTGTTGCCATCTTCTGACCTGATCAGCTTTCATAACTAGTTGCCCTTGCTCAACTCGAACAACTACATTTGCGGCGAGTTATGGTTCAATAACTTGTTGTTCAAACAATCGCTTTGAAGGTTGGTCTACTCATCATTCTGAAAAGGCATGCTGTCCGACCGACCGTCAAGTCGTCAAGGTGAGATCGGTTGTGACAGGGCGCTCAGTTCCGCGTGAAGTTCGACCAAAGACAGCTAGCTGACGCCGAATTTGTTCATTTCGAAGGCCTCTGCATCCTTGGTCAACATGCAGTGTTCAGTGGCAGCAGAGGCCTAATAGCTAGTTTGAAAAGTGACCTGGTTGCTGGGCTTCAACTAGTGGGTTCGTAGATCATACCGTCTGATAGAAGCCTTGAGGCTATCCTCCCTTGGGATCCCATATAGTATCATCTCCTGTGCTCGACATAGCCACTGAAGAAGCTTGCATTACGCGTCCGTGTATCATCCTACTATCTGCGAGTATTTGGACACTGGGGCGAACTAGGAAGAGGTCCTGAGTTTCGACTTGGTTTCGACAAGTCGGAAACATAACAACCCACTAGACCCGATCGAGCGCTATTCACGAGCGGGCGCGCGTCTGCGCGCTAGCCTACCGTGATCTCGACCTCCTCTCAGTCTCATCTCCACGGGAGCACCGTGCGCGATGGTCACCGCTGGCCCGTCGACGCCTCAGCGACGAGGTGTCTGGGAGCCTCTTCCGCTCATTATATATGGCTATGCAGTGCATCCGTTGTCGCCAAACCGTCGCGATACCAAGCTCTCGAGCAGGACCCGGGCATCCACATTCACCAGCACAACAGACGCCTCCGGGGACGAACACCTTGTTCACAGAGATGTCGTCTCGCTGGAGGTCGGGGACAATGTTTACGCGTTTGAAAAATATACGCCAAGGGACAAGGAGATGGAAGGTGTATGGTACCGAGGGTGCGTGCGCGAGCTCCTGCATGTCAATATGGGTGAAACTCACTGTATGAAACAAAGATACGTTGTGTGCACATCGCGTCGTCCGCAAGTAGACTGGACGCTGGTGTCCGACCCATCGTGCTCCGCCCAGAAGGCGGCTGCGAAGGCAGATGAATCGCAGCAGGTCTTTATAGGCGTCTTCCCCGCATCGCACATCTTCATTCGCGACGAGCTCTCGGACGCGGAGGGGCGGTTGTCGGAGCTAGCGACTACACTACGTGTACAGACAAACGGGCACCAGTCTGACACGTACCCGCATGCCAACTGGATCCGGGAGACAAGGGAGAAGGCCATGACAGGCTACCAGACGCCTCGAGAGGACGACGCGCTCTCGCTCAAGGATGGCATTTCACGCAAGTCGTTCAAGCTGGTGCCGCCGCCTGATCAAGCCAACTCTGCGCGTGCACGATTGCCCGTCTATCCACCGAGCCTGCGATCGGCATCCCCCACCCCGACCGAGTCTCAGGTTATGAAACCTCTCCCACCACGGCCTTCACTCAAGTCGGGAGACGACACAGCATCCGGAGCGGACCAGCCTATCATCGACGAGATTGCATCCGCCCTCCGAGAGTGGTACACACTCATGTTCCAATACCTTGCGCGGCGGGACTACAAACTTTTCATGGTCGTCCGTGAACATATCGAGGCGCTTCATCTCGGGCGCCGACAACTCCTTGCACAGACACTCAGCTCTGAAGAAACCGTCAGCCTGCGGCGAGAGTGCGTTGCGCGACTGGTAGTGGGGAACCTCGTGCAGGGTCTAGACGTCATTGTACGGCATCCGACAGGGGGTGGACTGGCGACCGTAGATGTGGAGGGCGAGATTGACCCGCGCAGCTGGATGAGCGCGTTAAGAATGTATGCGATGCAGGTCTCACTCGCGTATATGGACGTTTCGCCCTCCACACACCCGTACAAGTCTCCGCACATGGGCAGGTCACTAGACTACTCCGCGTCGGCCTCTACCCAGGCGCATTCAGTGTTTCCGGACCAAATTCGAAGGCAACACCCGCGCATTGTTGGCGCACTTGGTTCATCCTTCTCTCCCCCGCCAGTCAAGGCGAGGTTCTACCACGTCTTCCTTGACTTGCGTGCGTTCGTCGCATCGCTGTGTGCTCCGGGCGAGACAGTCGAGCTATTCTTCAATCTTTACAACAAGCACGAAGCACGCTTCGTTTCCGAGGAGTTTTGCGCGGTGTTGAATCACAACGGTGTCCTGGCGCGGGATCCTGCCGCCCGTATCCGCACGCTATTCACAGACCTGGTCCAGGCTGATGCGCAGGACCCCATCTATCTCGTATGCAAGATCGTCCGCAATGGCTCGTTGAGGATGGGGAGCAGCATGGGAGCGATCCGCGAAGGTGGTCGAAGGCCATCGGAGACATCGTTGCGGGATAGCGTCGTGCCCAATGGCTTTGGAGATTCAGGCAGTTCACTGAACGAGCTGCCGACACACTTCAGGCGACCGTTCGGATGCGCCGTTCTTGAGCTCACGCAGCTGAACGTGATGGCAGCGGAGCAGAACGGGGTTTCCGCTACTAGGGAGCACACCATGCCTATATACGTCCCAAAAAACGAAGCCACCTTCTCCATGCTTCACCAGGACGTTTTAGATGGGAAGAGTAAAGAGTACGAAAAATCGCCGAGGTGAGTGAATGTCGAACTTTCATTCTCGAACCCTAAATTGACTTCGCATAGAGCGGAGATGATGGTGGTGTCGATCAAAGTCTTCTATGGCGACGCCCAAACAATCGTACGGGAGAACACCTCGCTGTTGCAGGACATCCCCCTGAGCTTGCGCCTCGGCTTCCCCGACGTGGTATTCCCTGGAGACGTGAGGAACGAACTTTATGTCAAACTCTGGAGCGGAGATTTCTCGTCGCAGACGCTGAACCCTCGCCGCAGCATCACCAACTTTGCTCGAGGGCAGGTCAATCCTGTCAGCGGAAACGTTCAAGTCACAATCGAAGTGAGGAACCAGCACGGCCGGACTTTTGATAGGGTCATCTCACAATGCAGTGGCGAGCCCGAAACGACGCAGTTCAATTCGATGGTCTTTTTGCGTACCAGCCAACCGACGTTCGGTGAGCTGGTCAAGGTGAAGCTACCTTTCGAGGGCGCGCAGCAGTGGCACCTTTTCTTCACTTTCCGACATAGGAGCTCCCGGGACCGTCCCATAGGAAGAGGATCCGACGCGCCCGAGCGTCCATTTGCATTCGCATTCCTGCCACTCTTTCCCGATGGTCGCGCGTTCTTGGAAGATGGTGCGCACACGCTGGTGCTCTACAGTGCCGACAGGTTGAACCAGGTCAGCGCGGAAATGTACTTGGCCGCAACTCCATGGTTGCCCAGTGGCCAGCGGTCAGAGCAAGTCCTCGTACCGGTCGAGATGCAGAAGATCGCTCCGCATCTCAAAGACAGCCTCATCATCCGCTCGTCCCTCTGCTCGACGAAGTTCACTCAGAACTCGGTTTTGCTCAGTCTCCTGAACTGGGAGCAATTGCCAGATAAGGAGACGTTGTGTACCGTGTTGAGCAAGTTCACGTTCGTCAGTGAAGTCGAGATCGTCAAGTTCCTTCGGGACATCTTCGACTCGCTCTTCGCGATTCTGTCGTCGGTATATAACCAAACCGGCGACATGGACCATCTCGTTTTCAATGCTCTGGTGACGGTCTTGGGCATCATCCAGGACCGCCGGTTCAGCAACTTCCAACCTGTGCTGGACGTCTACATCGAGAAGCATTTCTGCTCGATCACCGCTTCATCGCATATTGTCCACTCCTTGAATCGCCTTCTTCAAAACCCGACTGCGAGCGAGACAGCATCGAGCTTGCGTTCTGCGCTCAAAGTATGGCACTACATCTTCAAGTTCATCGTCCGCTCGAGAGAACTCCAGAAGGCGAAGGTGTTTGATCTCGATGGCGGAGGTACAGCCGAACACCTTGAGGCCACATTCACGCGAGAAGTGCGATCTCATCTCTCGGAAGTGAATCGCATGATGTCCACTACGACACCGGCCTCGATCATCGGTACCCAAACCATCGCATTGCAACATTTCTCCTCAATTCTACCGGAGCTGAGCAAGGTCTACAACATAGTGGAGCTCGTGACCATAGTGACGCAGTTCGCGAATGCAGTCGTCTCGAACAAGGGCAAGATCGTCATCTGGAAGTTGATCATGTACCTCCAGGTCGTGAAGAGCTTCTTATTCGACAACCCTCAATCTCGCGCTCTGCTTGTGGAGAACGTTGTTTTCTGGCTGAAGCCTCACTTTGGTCGCTATGACGAGTATGTCCAGACACAGCCAGGTGATTCAGAGAACACCCGCGAGCAAGCCCGTGTTCAGTGGCTGGAATGTATCAGGTTGTCCGTGACAGTTGTCGCTGTCATGCTCGACAAGTGCCTCCAGCAACTCGTCAATCCGGCGGTTGTCGCTGATCGTAACCTGCTTAAGCAAGAGCAAGACAACATCGAGTACTATTTGCTCACGTTGATTCCCAGGTGCGTCTATTCTCCTCGCTCTCGATAACGGTCTAGTGAATGATAGCGTCTACTAGATTGCTGGACTCGTATATCGAGTATCAGAACCCGTTGTCTCAAAGGGCACTAGAGCGCAGTCGATCGACCGTGCCGACGTCGTCCATGTATCCAGTCACATTTCCTGAAGCATATCCATTCGCGATGCTCGCTCAGCTTCCGAAGGGTCCTACTGCAGTATCCGGGTCGTTCGACAATCGTCCGGATTTCATCCCTGGCCTTGGTGAAGCGGCGATCGTCCTCTTGGTTCTGGTCCTTAGTGCACCTATAAAGCATCTTCTCGGTTTCCTTGAGTCTATGCTTGAAATCGAAGGACCCGACAATTTTGCCGCGTTCCTCTCGAAGTGCTTCAAGGTTGCAGTATCTATCATCAACAACGATGCGTTCCCCAAGAATTGGCTGAACATCAACGTTCTATCCCACAAGGTGCTAATCAAGCTCATGGACCCGATTGCAACCCTGCTGGAACGCGAATTCGTTCCGCATCGCCAGCCAGGTCGCGAGTTCAATCCGACGTTGTGGAGAGATGCTTTCCATGTGTTGCTAAAGATACTTTCCTCGGAACACTTGGTGATAGAGGAGTTCATCCCGCAGGTCTGTATTCGTACTTATCTCCTTCCCCCATTCACACTGCTGACTATTCCAACAGAAACGCCGGGCAGTCTGGCGCCTTGCAGGAGACATCCGTGGTGAAGGCGCAGCGTTGCTTCTCCGATTGTGGGAGGCTCTCGGATGGTCTGAGGACGAGATGGCGAGTGACGTGACGGACAAACCTTTCGTGGTACGTGATTTGATCGATACCCGACACGTCTACTGACTTTCTCGGACAGAACTATCAGGCTGCCTTGAGTCCTCTCGTGGGCCAAGTCGTCAACCTCTGTCTGAGCCATCATGATATGCTCCGCAACAACGCAGTCCATATACTCTACTGCATGATCATCTCTGAATACTACGTCTCTGGAAACTTCGATCATATCGAGCACGAGCTGGTCAGCAAGTTGGATACCCTCTTCATGTCGGACAGCAAGGGCGATGACATTTCGCGGGCGTTCTTCATCTCCTATATCAGAAACCTCTTCGATAGCTCAGACGTTGATGAACAATTACGCGCCCGCGTCACTAGCTTCCTCAGCGAGGTGGACATGTTCCTCGAGTTGTTACTGAGTGTCCGGGCACTACCGGAGGGTGAGGAGTTCGCCGACGACCGAGTGATTGCGACGGTGCGTCCTCTCACTACCTCCTGATACCCTCATGACCCATTCTGTTCAAAGCTACGCCTCATGAACTTTATCCGACGGATCGGACGGGACGAGATCTACATCAAATACGTTCACCAGCTTGTCAATGTAAGTTCTCGCCCAATTTGGCCATCTAGAACACTAGGGCTCAGTACTTCCGCAGATGCATCTTCAAGCCCAGAACTACGTGGAGGCTGCCCTGACCCTAAAATTGCATGCCGACCTACATGACTGGGATCTGAACTCCTTCGCGCCTCCCATGGAAGAACTTGGTTTACCCCAGCAATCACACTTCCATCGGAAGGAGACGCTCTGTTTGCTCATTTTGGACTATCTCGGCAAAGGCAAGGCTTGGGAGAGTGCAATAGAGATCTGTCAGGAGCTTGCGATACAGCATGCCGAAGTGACGTTCAATTAGTGCGTCGTTTTGTCGTTTTATGGGGCAACGTTGCTGACTACTATCTCGTTCAGCGCCCGCCTGGCCGAGATCTTGCGGCACAAGGCAGCCCTCTTAGAGCACATTATCACGGACCAGCGATACTACTCAGATTACTTCAGAGTCGCTTTCTATGGCCACTTCCCTGCTGCTATTCGCAACAAGCAATTCGTCGTATGTTATCTGTTGTTGACTTCATCCTTCATCAAACCCTTTGCTGACTTGCAGCTATATAGTACCGTGGGTACGAGTGGGAGAAGTTCGGGGCGTTCTGTGAACGTATGCTGAACAAGCATCCCGGTGTGCAACTCCTCAAAATGATCGGTGATCCTCCTGTCGACATTCGGTTTGGGACTCAACAATACATCCAATGCACGGCTGTCCAGCCTGAGCCCGATCGTGAAGCTCCTATATTCACCAATTCTGATGTTTCGCCGCAAATTCGGGCATACTATGAGCATAGGTAAGCTATGTAACGAAGCTCTGCTGCGTGCGCGGGAAGTAATGTTGTTATCAGTGCGATCAGGGTGTTCAGCTACGACCGCCCAGTAACCAAGACTGCGACAGATGGCGCTGAAGAGGTCTGGACGGAAAAGACGTTTTTGACCACAGAAGAAATGTTCCCTACTGTGCTTCGTCGTTCTGAGGTCGTTGGCGCGCAGGTGGTGGAGATTTCGCCTGTACAGACAGCATTGCAAGAAGTGGAAGAAAGCACTCGCGAGCTCGCAGGATTGAATCTTAGGTTTTCTGCTCTGGCGAAGACCTCTCAATCGGTCCCAACCAACGTGCTCGCCATGGCTCTCAACACGGCTGTCGATGCACCCCTCACGAGCGGGATCGGTGCATATCGACAAGCGTATCTCACCGGGGAGTACGTTGATCGTTACCCTGAACGAGCTGAGGAGGTGCAGAAGCTGCGCGATGCGATTGATGAGCAGGTTAGTGTGCGTTTATGTTGGATATGCATCGGCTGATCCTTTATGTCGTCAGGTTCGCATGGTTGACAGTTGCCTTCGACTGCATGGCCAGCTGTGCGCGCCCGAGATGGTCTCATTCCACAGTACTCTCGAGAAGTTCTTCCACAAGAACTTCGGGGAAGAGATTCAGCGGCTGGGACTCGACCTGAATGCTCCACCACGCCCCTCGTTGCTGGCCTCCCCGCGCAGTGGCGCACGCCCACTACCGAACCCTCAGGATCAGTTGTAAGTTGTCCTAATTCTTTGCTACTCTTTAGTACTAAGTGATATCATCAGACGGCCGCAGCTGGGCTTGATGCCGGTGCAAGTAGGCCCTGCGTACAATTCTCCAGCACTCTCTCCCTTGTCTTCGCGCTCGGTCAACGACAGCGGCTCTGTAGAACTCCCACAGAACAAGCAGACCCCTCTCCAAAGGCACCTCGCGCACCTGGCTCGGCATGGATTCAATGGCGTTTCTTCTGGCCCTGGAGATGCCGGAGGCGACAACTTGTCGGAAGAGAGTCCTCGCGACTCCTTCATAGCCACTGGTGGCATCCCTATTACCGGCCTCTCCGGGGCAGCGTCCGTCTCGGCTTCCACGATGGGCGGCAGCATGGGATCGATCCGCGGTCGACTGTCGAAGTTCTCCAGCCTCAACTTCGCGCGGAGGGACATGTGATACCAAACTATTATTATTGTAATGGGTTTGCGGTACTCGTGCGATTTTTCATAATTTTTCCTGTCATTTATACCGTTGTCTCCGAGCTGCTTGATTTTCGTTCCGAGTGTACGGTAATCGTAGTCAATGTTTCGTGTAATAATGTATGGAAGGGTTGTCCATGTAAGTTGCTCAGCCAGTGAAACTCGTACCACAGAGTTCCCGCATTTCGCCACGGATGTGGGATCTGCCTTGATCATGGCTTGCGAACAGATTATACACAAGAAATTTGCATCCAGTGGTCATTGTGAACGATGGAAGCCGATCATCCCGTGCCTGTTAGCTGTGGCGTACGAGTGGTGTACGTGGTCTGAGTCTGAGCCCTCGGAATGTTCGTACTGCCGGATGGGTGCTCGGATCAGCACAAGATGGAATCAAGTTGCAGCCTGAGAGTCGCCACGGAGCCAACGTGGCTAGATCGTGGATGACATGGTTGGCGAGATCTGCGAATAGTATTCTCCTGCTGCGAGGCGCGATGGAATAATGTTGATTGGTCACTGCTACAACTGCTACACAACGTCGGAGATGGTCCGAGCAACTTGATCATCGCGGTGATGGGCGGAGCGCATCGCGATGATGGAAGAAAAAATGAAATCCGTGGAGAGCAAGTTTCAACAATGTCTGACTCGTGCTTGAGCATCAACGAGGCTGTGTAGCCACTGCATATGGCGACGCCTAAAGATTGTATCGCTGTGAAGTGCACTGGTCCCTACCTGTTCGTCCATCATGAGTAGCGTTCAGGCCCCGATCGTCGTTGAAGCTCCCGGGTGGAGGGAAGACACCGCAATGGCGCACAAGCGACCTCCGAATCCTGTCCTTTGTCAAAGATCAAACCCGGTGTACTTGGAAAGGTAACGCACTATGATCGAATAACGATGGTCCAGTCTAGAGGTACAGGAATCAGAATCAATGGATCTACTCGGTAACATGTTACTAACACCAGTATCAACGCTGCAGACAAGTCGGATGGAACGGCTCCCAACCAGGGGATCCGCCATTCTTCAGGCCGTCTTGAGACCAGACGCGAGCATTTTCTGACCAGACGCGCGCAACAGGAGGGATGTGCGCCTCCACAGACAATATCCGTCCGCATGACTCTCTCGTGCACTTCTGCGAGAAGAGGTTCTCATACGAGTTGAGGAGAGCCTGCCGCCATATGTCATGAGTGATGCGGGATAACGTGTAACATGACCTTGATACGAACCAATGTTGCTCGGAGGGGGACCTGGGGCTCGGATTGAATGATTCTGACCACTTGCTGGGTGAGCTTCTGAAACACGACGAAGTCCGATTGCGAGTGATGGGGTTTCTGGCAGAGTCGTTTTAGCATTCGTCCCAGTTTGGACAGCGTTATACTTTCGCTACCTGTTCGCGCGAAGCAAAGGCTGTGGCGTTCTCCACGATCAACGACGTCCCATCCGCTCCGTCAACGGTCAGGAAGATCGTAAGTGCATCTCGGATGGAATAGCGGAGCAAGAGCGGGAGGTACAGCGTTCGGTGTGGGTCAGATGTGACGACGTGGACTTTGATCTTGGGGTTCGCGCGGTTAAATTCCTTCAGGTACTCGGCAAGTCCATCCAGCATCAATGCCGTAGCCTCGTCCCGGGGGAAACGCGACGTTGGTTGTGGTGCTTCCGGAACATACACTCGCGGGGACCCAGGCGAGGGATCCGCCGAGGATTGCCGTCTACAATAGGGATGCATTGATGAGCCCTGCTTCTACAGCTGCCAGTATAACCCCATACTTTCGCTTGCGTGTCTCGCGAGGCTTGGTGAATATAAGATCGCCTTTGACTTTCTGCTCGCTGGCTCGCGCTGCAAGCAGGGAGCCTTGCACACTCTCAGAAGCTAATGCTGCCGCAAGATCCTTAACGAGCTGGAATTTCTCCGCCAGAGTCCCGTCGAAGTTGAGCTGCTGCAAGATCCCTACTTCCGGTGGCTTGACCAATTGTGTGGGAATCCGCCTGACCGTACGCAACTGTGCATTGATGTCTGAAAGTGTCTTCAATTTTCCTTGCAGTGCAAGCAACTCTGGCGATGAGGATGAGGCGGTGGGCGTGTCTGTCACGGAGGCCATGTGCGATCTTGGTGAGTGTGGCCGTTGAGGTAGAAGGCGCGGTAGACGCCCGCTATCCAACACCGCAACTCCGAAAAGGCCGGAGGATTGAGCCCCGCCACCTCCGCCACGTGTGCCACGCGAGGCGCATCTTAGATGATCATCTCCCGATTGAATCTGGGTTCATTTTGACCAGGTCGGGATGTTCCTTATTCGGCCGTTCGACTCCCATCTCGACAACCGTACGCATCGGACGCCGAATCACTACCAGACGACCCACAGATCAGCTGCTATCCGGTGCGCAAATGGGGGTGATTATTGCGTTGTGAAAAAATAATGAGATGCTGGCTCGCGTGTAAATTTTGACATTCATTCCAGGAACGTGGCGGCTCCTCGCGAGATTCGGCGACGAGGTGAGGTAGTACCGCTTGCGCGTTCAATAGACGAACCGGGACTTGTCAAGGCCGCTCGGTCTGCACATGTACCTATCAAAGGATTGCTTGTGTACACCCAGAGACCTTCCCATGGTCTAGTTTGCATAGGCCGCTCGCTGACCAAGGTCGACACAGCGTTGTTAGGCTTCGGCATGCAAGAAGAAGAATCTTCATCCACCACGGTACGCTGCTACTCCATGGGACACCTTGGGCCGTGTATATTATGTCAAGTGGCATCATGCAACGTCCCGTCGAACTTCCCCACTCTATCATGTCCTGCCTCATTGTTACGTCAGTTCATTTAGATGTACAGAATGCCCCGGCGAAGCGTACAGATTGTTAGTCGCGTGAAGACCCTTGGAATGTGCGTATCTATCTGCGTTTCGAGAATGAGTGATCAGGAACTGACCGTCACGGTGGAGCGCAAGGACATTTACGGACCCACCCATGCCATGAGGCTGGTGTCGCACACCCTGTGCTAGTGCGCAAGGCAGACAGATTCGTTTCGCCGTTGACAACGCGAACCCCTGTGTACAAGTGACAAGTGGATTCGACCGTAGATTGCACACGAACTACCGCTACACGCGCTAGATGCCGCCTTACGGACACTTATGTACCGGGATACGTGTGATACACCCTCCAGTTCCTAATCCAAAATTGCCTTCGATTCCTCAGCAAACTGGCCGTGGCGCCAAATTGTGTATGCGAAGGCGTGCCAATGAGATTTACCTCGAGCGATCCTATCCCAACAGCGGCAGTACGGATCTGCGTGTCGGGTGCCCCGGTCTGTACGGCCTTGCTGAACTGAAGACGTTGATTGCCAGTATCCATGCTTAACATGCCTATCTGTACGCCCGCTGGATCGGCGCACGGTGAAGGAATATAACGAAGTGCGTGTCTACAAAATCCCGCTCCCTCTAGAGCTTGCCCTCACCTACATGGTCGACGTCCACCCCTCCTTGCTTGCAGATGTTCTTTTGGAACCAAGGCAGCCTCCTGGCCGTGTCCTAGGAGACTTGCGTACTAGGGACAGTTGCCGCCGGCCCATCAAGCATTGGCCGATGGCTCTACGGAACGGATGTGCATGTCCGAGTCGCCCCCGAGTTCCTTCGGAGTCTGGACGTTACTACCTCCATGGCCGCAGAGCTGCTGCTACCGCGTCGCAGAAGTGACTGTACAATATCACGGTTAGTAACCTGGCAGACCTGACACACTATCCTCACGTCGAAGCTTTCGAAGGCTGATGCTTACGCAAATTCATACGACACCTTCCAGCTCTCTTGCGTGTACACACCCGCTGTTATTGGGCAACATAGAGCCGACACCCAGCATCGACGGTATCGTGGTCGAGACCAGGGCCCGGGCCGGCCCCTAAGAGTGGCGCGTAGAAGTGCATGGTGCCGGTGGTCCAGATATCACGTACTAGAGAGAAGACCTGGATTTGATTTGTTGAAATTGCTTCCCCTGAGCATGCCGCCACTTAGCACTAGCTTATCGACGATTAGGAGCACCCTCTGCAGTCCCGTGAGGAGTGCAGCCTTGCTGAATACTTGCTCCGGGGAAACAAAATGGCAGGGAGAACTTTCCGAGCTCCATACGGCCTGCATTTATTGTTATTGATGCCGGAAGAAGCATCTGAGCTGCCTTCCCGGGGATAGTGAATTGCGAGGGCGCGGAGGGGTAACACCTGGCGCCAAGGGGAGACGACAGAGAGAATGTGCAGGCCCTGTTTCGCGTGCGCATGGGGACATCCTGGGTCATCGTATCCAAATCGTATCCCGACCGCGTCCATGATATGGGCGCCTGGAGAACACGCTCGGGCCGATGGCATCATGCAGTGCACCCCGGCGTCGGCGGGCGGGCTAGCGCCTGGAGTTGTCCTCGATACCATTCGCAGATCCTGAAACGCACACCGCACCGCGGCCGGTGGCGGGATGGCACAATCGTATGAGGTACCTCCGACAGCCAATCATCGCGCGTCATCGGGGCATGCACGGGCGGCCTCACTTTGCATGCCGCCCGGTGACTTGGTCCCCTGGCGGCCAGGCCGCAGATGAGTGGGCGCAACGCTGCTGCCGCTGCTCTCGCCGTGAGCTGCTTCACGTCGTGAGGACGTACCGTCTTGACATGATACGGAAAGAGACCCGTTCGGCCATGGTGCTCTTGTCAAAGTTCGCCCGTCCGTGCTTCGGCCCATCTAGGGCGACCTCCCGAATCCATGGCGTCGTAGAACTGGGGGGCTGTGCGTAACACAGCACGGCGGATCCTGATCAACACGGCGCATGGCTCCCGCGTGCTCTTCATCATGGCGATTGGATCTCGTCCTGTATCTACGATGCGCATCACGCACGAGGCTATCGCTCGTCACTGGAGGGCCGTACCACGGCGACGAGACAAGCACGCATCCTGTCAGACCCTTGGACCTCGAGAATTTTTGTATGTTAGACACACCTCAGAAGTTGTGGTTGATTGACCACTGCCAGTGCTGTCCGACCTATTTGCGTTGGGCAAGTTACCAGGGTTGCGGGCCGTCGGTTAGGACGAAATCAAATTGCGCGTGCCATCTCGATCTGCAGGGTCGCGGGGATGCCCGTCGTAGTCTAGCGCACCAAGCTATTACCTCTTTGGGGCACTCGAAACCCGACGACGGAACGATGCTGCGACGCGATACATATATGCAAGCTCGGAATGCGACGGCGTCACTACTTTATGCCCCTCCTCCCGCCGTACCGGGGCCTGTCTTTTGTCTGTCTCTTCTGAGCCAACCCCGCGCTCGTCTCTAACGCACACCCGCCCCCAGTCAGCCACCCGGGCCAGCCTCTTTACATACAAGCCCCCGCCGCGTGTTGTCGAGCAACCTCGAGGACCGAGCACTTTAAACGCTGTGAGTAGCACTCGCCTCGCACGTTGCCCCTCCAACCCACATCATGGCTGTTCCGCGTACCAGCATGGCCTGTATTACACGAGTTCCGTCTACCGAGAGTCGTGTAGGCCCCGACCGTCACTCCGGCACCTGCAGCTCGCGCTCTGCGTATCGCCCTTATCCCTCTCCGACCTCTTCATCGTCGCGCTCATCTACACCAGGTGGTGAGTACCGTCGCCACCCCGTCCGCGCCGATCGTGAGCTTAACATGGCCCTACCTCCACAGTCCAACGGCAGCGGGACGTGATGAGCGCTCCCCCTCAATATGTCGACTCTCCGCGCGGCGCGTTACGCGTCTTTGCATACTCTCCTCCGCAAGGGCCGCCAGGTGCGACCATTACGGCGAACATCGACTTCACCGTCCAGGCCACGGATACGATCTACCTGCGCCTCGTCCTGGGCCGCCGTGCGTTGACGACGTCCGTGCGGAGGCTACCCTACAAGCATTTCGAGCTGCAGGCTCGCGTGCCCATGGACGATTCCACTGGCTCCCCTGGGTCCGTGATGGCGCTGTCCGCGCAGGCCCTGGGCAGCAATGATGAGCTCATTGATACGGTCACCTTCGGCAATTTCACCATCGTTGACTTCGGTGCGTGCATTCGCCCGCCTGTGCCGCCGAGCAGCCCTAATAATATACTGTGTCAGCAGGCACCTACGTTGCGCCTATCACGGGTTACACCGCCCAGGATGACACCCTCGACAGCTCGATACCCCCAATCGTGCGCGCTACGGAGCGTCGAGACCACCGGGAAAGCTCGTCGATGGAAATCTACCCCTCGGACCACTACATGCAGGACTACAGCTGCATCCGGACAGTGCGTCCGTCCAAGAAGACGTCGCTCATCCGCACGCGGAGAACCGTGTCCGGGGATGACGACTCCGGGACGAAGTGCGCGTCCCTCGTCCTGGAAGCGGACCTCGACGACATGTCCAAGGGCTGGGAAAAGGGCGAACTCGCTGCCGGTCGGCGGCTCGTATGCTTCTCCCGAGTACAAGAGGGCTCGACGCTGAGGGTGTCGTGCGCGGCGATCAAGCAGGAAGACTACGCCGAGGGTGACGCCGTGGTCTCGTGCATATACCGGAAGGACACGGACAGCTGCTATGTCACCTCCGTCGACATCATCCTCCTTCTCGAGCGCCTCGTCGGCCAGGAGTTCGACATCGAGGAGAAAAACCGCATCCGGCGGAACTTGGAGGGCTTCCGGCCCAAGACCATCTCCAAGAACCGGCCCGAGAGCAGCGAGTTCTTCCTCCAGATCATGAACTTCCCCGCCCCAAGCCGCGCAATATTGAGAAGGACTTGAAGGTGTTCGACTGGAGCATCCTGCCGCAGGCGCTCGACAAGATCATCTCGCGTTATGTGAGTTCTCCCGCCCGCATGATCGTTGCGTCGCACTTACAGTTACCGTTACCCATGCAGACGCTCCCGCTCCCGCAGCCCCAGTCGAGGATAGACACCCCAGAGCGCACCGTGCCGTCGTCGTCCATGCCGTCGGGGTCCCTGTCGCCGCTGCCACCCTCGTCCCGCACGCACAGTCCGACGGAGTACTCGCCGCGCTCGAGCGGGTCTCTCGCAACGCCCGAGTTCCCCAGCGACGCGTACGGCAGCAGCCCCAGCACGCGCTCGTTCCCGTACATCCCCTCGCACGACCGCGGCGTGCCTGCGCTCCTCCCGGGCGACGTTAGCAGCAGCTCGTACGACGACCCGGGCTTCTACGACTCCTTCTCGTACTCGTCCGGCTCTACCGCGTCCACGCCCTTGATCACGACGCCCTCGTGCCCCGACTCGCATCCGGCATTCGGCGCAGACCAGGAGAAGGCGTTCCTGTCGTACGCGTCCTTCCCGCCGTCGGATGTTCTTGGCCCACCGGGCGTACGCGGTGACTTCGCGGGGCTCGACACCGCACCCCTGCCGTCGTTCGGCTACGATGCGTTGAGCCAGAGGCACCACTCGCCCAGCCTATCTCCCGAAGCATACCTCTGAACCAACGCACGCGCTAACGCATCAGAATACCACGCCCGAGATGTATGTATACTATCTATTCGGAGCTGTATCCCTTACCCGCCTTGTCGACACCACGAGATCCTTCCTATAGCTTTATATATCTTCCCGTCATAGAATACCACTCTTCCCGCTTGCGAAATGGGGCTATACATGTATCATAGAAAACTCGAGTCTAACCTATGCTTGTCAGTAATACATAATTTGTCTGCCGCCATGCTCGGTTGTCAAGTCGCGACTGGTCACGGCAGCGACACTGAGCATCGATGGCACGGTGGAGGCTCGTTCTTACCGCTTGATTTCGGCGGAGCAGAATCTGCTCGGGCCGGAGCGACATGTACGGAGCCCGACTTGCAAAAGCCACATGCCCAGCCATGATAGACATGAAACGGTCGTCTCCAGATCGATAGGCTGTGTTGACCAGGTCCCGAGGGGGAGTTCCTTCATGGTTCTGTGCTCTGATGTAGGACGGACGTGTACGTGGCATGGGGGGCCCACTGACGCTTGTCGCGAAGCTTGAAGAATGAAGGGAACGAGGATCATGATTATGGCAAAGCCCTAGTATTCGCTACTGATTGCAGGACGCGCGCCCCATACACACCCTGTACACACCTGGTTGAGCTTTCCGGGGCAGCTGATAGTTCTGCGGCTCGTGACTCAGCGCAAAGAGACATTCTGATGCGGTCAAAAATGACCCTGCGACTCACCAAGACCAGATCGCGACCCCTATCAAACCTACCCATGGTCCAGGCGAGCTACCCTCCGGGGCAGCGAGTTGGCCGAGGAGAATGTACAGAACCGTCGAGTTGTCCGCCGCGATCCCTTCGATCATGAGGCAGTGCCGCCCTTGCAGCTGATCTAAGGCCTCCGTTAGGCTCGCGACCTCTCGCGTCGGCTTCGCGTGGAGCGGCAAAAGCGACCCCGGAAGGTGCGTGTGTGGGGAGAGATCGACATGCCGAACCTAAGAACGCAGCGTGTATGCGCATACACCGACGTAAAAATGTGACATTGCAGGCGACGAGGCGGCTGTTGAAACGCTTACCTTCGACTCTGGCGTCATCCGGGTCTTTAGCCCTAACGCATCGATTATGTCGGGTTCGTGCCCCGTCCCAAAGTCGCCTCGCCCGAGCCAGAACGCAACGTCGCCGTACTCGTCGCTTTCGCTGTTCTGTCCCGCGAGGATGCTGCCACAAGCCAGCGAGGACGCTGCTGCTCCGGCACGCAGTGTGAGGCTCGACAGAAACCCGACATCGACGCTGTTTGATGATTGATCTCGGAGAACGAGGACGGGTGTGTCCGTGTTGTCGACGTCGATATACGGTGGGCTGTTCCCGTAAACGGCGGAGGCTGTTGCGGCCGCAGCGCGGGTTATGCTGGCTTGAGCCATGGGTGTTCTGAGGAATATAACGTCGACGATTGGGTGCAGTAGCAGTGAACACCGAAAGCATATATACACGCTGTCGCTCGTCGTCGCGGCCAATGGTAGCTTCGAGTTTTGTCGTCGGACGTAGAGGCTGCCGGTGGCGGGTGCCGCCCAGACGCGCGTGCCGCTCATCCTCCACCGCTCGCACTGTGCCTCTGCCGCCATCCTCTACCTTCACCACGACGGTCACGTTCGCTCTCGCCTGACTTTCTCAATCGTATCTTTCTCTCCTCTGGAGACGCTGCTTGCATGCTGTGCGCCGTTGGACGGAATGGCTTCGTAGAGAGGTAAATAAATATCGCAAGGTTTTCATCCGGCACGCACTGAATCGGGGCACTCAATTCCTGCAGTCTTGCAGTATCAAGACACAACCGACAGGTCGTCATCTCTCAGTGCAGGCTGCGGCATGCAAACGCAAGTCTCTCGTCAATAGCGCATCGCAATTGGGCTGCGAAGCCGTCCGGTGCGCTCGTCGCGTACCAGCTGTCGGCTCGTCTATTGTCCACATCTACGCCACCGCCTGGAACGACGAAGACCAAGAACGCAAGCCCACCACCTATCCTGCTTCCACGAGCAAATCCAAGGTTCAGCTGCGACCAGCACCTGTGAAGCCCGGCAAGCCGTCTGCGGCGCCCGCAGAACCCGTCTCAGCGCCGACCAAGTCGACAGGCGCGCCAGCTCTAAATGCTGCCACATCTGAGTCGGCACCATCCACCACCCACGCAGAGTCGGTCATCGAGGCGACGAAACACGATCTTGAGGACGCGTCGCAGCATGGCATCCTGGTCCCGCCGCCGGAGGGTGCCTCCCGGGTCGGCAAGCTCTGGCACCAAGCCAAGGAACTCTTCGTACGTATTTTCGCCCTCATGCATATTACTGTGCCCTGAGCGTGCAGTAGAAATTCTACTGGAGAGGCATCAAGCTGATCTGGACCCGACGTGCGCGCGTTCGGGAGATGGAGGAGAGGGTCAAGGCGGGCGGGCCGCCGCTGGCGCGGTGGGAGGTCAAGTTCATCCGGACGAACAACCGGGATACGTTGAAGTGAGTGATCCCTCAGCGGGTATTCGTTGCTGTCGAGATTGACTAGTGCGGGCGACCACTAGGCTCGTGCCTTTCCTCCTTATGGTGATCATCATCGAGGAGATCATCCCGCTGGTGGTGCTCTACGCACCCGGCGTGCTCCCGTCCACCTGCCTGCTCCCCTCGCAGAAGGAGCGCATCGACACTAAGCGGCGGGAGAAGCAGAAGACATACGCCCTCAACAACAGGCAGATGTTCGAGAAGCTCCGGCAGCGACTGTTGGCGAACCCGACGACGCCTGCGCGGACGCTATTGGACAGCCCGACGCTGATCGCCTTGAACGGGTGGGTTGCTACGCCTTCCGTGATCCGCAGCAATGCTGACCGGCACCGTTGATTAGTATTCTGGCCCTGTCCACGAACGGTTTGGACGCCCTCCGTTTCCGGAGACTGCACCAACACCTGATGGCCATCGCAGAAGACGACGCGCTCTTGAAGCGAGAGTCTTTAGGGCAGTTCCTGAACCAGGAGCGCCTCAGGGAAGCGCTCGAGGAGCGGGGAATGTACGTTGATCTTTCTAATATCACGACCCGCGTTCCTGGTGCTGATCGACATAGCATCACTGAGGGCCTTCCTCCCATGACCTGGCATGCGCGCCTTCAATGGTGGCTGACAAACGTCGAGGGCGGGGACCCTTTCATCCAGCGCGTGCTGCTCGTCGCGAGCAGCGGGGCGGGCAAATTCGCATGAATCGACTAAGTACGGCGCTTCTGGGAGGCCTGTAGACATCTGCATCATCATCCTGCACGCATAACATACTGTCCTGTGGTACTACTTGCTACATACGTAGTGCGGTAATTTATAATGGGGGCCACTAGAGCTACACACATCACTCACGACCTTCGCTCACGCGCTCACTGCTCGTTCTGGGTGCCGACGAAGGCGAGTGCTTCCCAGTTGCGCGTGGCCCAAGGCGAGAGCATGACGGCCTTCTGGGCTAGCTTGTGCGCTTCTGCTGTTCGTTCTGGGCTTGGGGGGGCGAGGCAGCGCGTGATCGCCTCTAGGTGCAGCGACTGCCGTGCGTGCTCGAGGTTACCTTCGTGCGACCCGGATGCGCCTGCGAGGACCGCCTGCGCGCTCTTGCTGTCGCCTTGCTGCACGTTGAGACTCGCCAGGGTCTGGCGCATTTCGGGTAGAGACGGTTCCGCGAGTACTGCCTTCTGAGCGATGGACAGGGCCTGCGCGACGTCACCCTGTAGGAGCTATCAGCATCTTCAAATATCAGGATGCGAAATGCCGAGACTGACCTGAGCGAGGTGGTGCTGTATGAGCAGGTAGGTGACGTCCCTGCCCGGGTCTCGACTGAGCCGCTGGTCCAGAGGAAGAGCGAGGATCTCCGAGAGGGCGGCGTCTACTAGACTTTCATCACCGGTTAGGATACCCATGCCTGCGAGCGTGTTGATAGCCATGAGGTTCTCAGGATCAGACTCGATGCTACATGCGTAGTCGGACATTTCAGCACGATTCGACGACGAACAACGCGAACGAGGACGAACCTTTGCAAAAGTTGCGCCTTGGCAGATTCACGTCCTTCGTCTGACCCGATCGCCCAGAGTGTTTGCCCCAGCAAGACCACGATATGTCCCCGCATCGTCGGGTCATCGGCGGCGACCGTCATTGCAGCCTCGAGGAACCCGAGCGCCTCTGCCAGTTGACCAAGCTTGAAATGAGCCAGCCCCGAAAGGAACTGTGTCTGTGCGAGCAATATTCGTGTAGTCCGGTCTTCTGGCTCTTCGGGCAACAGACCGAATACCACCTCCGTGGACGTAAGCACCTCATCGTAGTCTTGTATGGAGAGCCGCAACCTAGCCATGTTGGTATGCGCGATCGCGAAACGTCTCTCAATGTCAGGATCCTCGGTTTCCTCGTACGCGGCCTCGAGGAGAGACATCGCTCGGCTGAGGACCTCGATCCCAAGCTCGACGTGCCCGATGCGCTCGCAAACGAGGCCGAAGAGGTGCAAAGCCGAGGCATCGTCAGGTCGGCTCCTGCAGAACCTGTCCAGGACGAAGAACGCCGGGAAGAGATCATCCGATGTCGGAGCTATCCTTGACGGAGTTGTATTCAATTTCTTGAACAGCCGTGCTGCAAACTCCACGTCCGCTTCAGGCTGCACGCTGGTGTTTCAGTATCTCATGCGCTGGGCAGTTATTGTGTGCTCACCACAGGCGCCGCTAGGCCTGTTGCGTGTTCAAACAAGGCCCTCGCCTCCTGGGCATGGCCATTCACTGTGGCCACGAGACCCTGCCCCACCCAAGCCAATGCGTAGTCAGGATCAAGCGTCTGCGCCTTGAAGAACGCCTCGTTGGCAAGTTCAGCATCGTCGTGGTGAAGATAGAATAGGCCCATGCCGGTCCAGGTCACAGCGTTCTATGGGGATAGTCCAAATTGTTATCATGGGATGATTGCACGGTTACATTGCACACACCTTGGAGTTGATCTCGATAGCTCGGATGTAGGCATGCTGAGCGACCTCGGCTGCGACTCAAAGGTAGCCGTCCCCAGTGCATTCCAATACTGCTCGTTGGATGGTTCACAACGCAATGCATCCTTGATCTGGCGTGTTCCATGCTGCCGCGCCTGCTCAGCAGCTGATCTTGCG